TTCTAATTCATATATCTTTTTATTCAAACGTATATCTTACTTTTATGCTTTTGTTTTTTAGAATTCCAGTTTATCTGTGACGCAGCTGCAGGAATACTAGCTAGATTTCATCTTGCCACAGACATTTCAATCACAGGTCCACTCGGTTTCCGTATTAACACTGGAGCATTAGGTAAAGAAATTATTCTAATTCAAATATCATTTTCTTTTAATGTATATCTTACTTTTCTGGTTTTGTTTTGTAGGCTTCCAGTGCTTGTACAACCGAGCTGCAGGAATAATAGCTAGATGTAATCTTGACACAAATATTTCAATCACAGGTCCACTCGGTTTCCATATAAACACTGGAACACGAGGTAAAGTGAAAACATTTGCAAACATTTCCTTAACTTCGAAAACGAACGTAGGATTCTGCGCCGCTCCTTTTGAGATATAAAAACTTCGGAGGCAAATACAGACTTTCTACAATGCTCTGTTAAGAAGCATAAAGATCGGGAACCGAAAGAGTTTGCATTGGAATATTTGGAATACAAGAAAAGGTGTTTTCGAATACTGTTTGGGGTTTCAAGTCAAATTTTTTGGACGATGGATTTCGTGGGTTGCGCATAATTTAGAACTTGAGCAAAAATTTTTCTGTATTTCGCTATTGGTAAACTTTCCAAAAGAATTGGATGAGGAGGAGTAGGGATGATCTTATTGTAAAATTTCTTTTTCTCTGAAGATATATTTTTTTAATGCAAGTTTTTGAGCTGATTCTGAATATATTATTTATTTGATCTTGAATCAATGTATGATAATAAAATCGACACAATTCTATGAGTCCGTTATCCCATATGGCGAATATTTAAAGAAAAATAATGTTTTTGAAAGATAAAACAAAAGTAAAAAAAAAAGTCTATACACACGTTTGTAGGTTTTTTGATGCTGAATTGAATGGTATATATTATTAGATTTTATCTCCTTACAAAAAAAACTAGATAGATCTATAAGTTATGCTAGTGACGCCTATCCATTGTCATTCATATATAGAGAAAAAAAATCATCATATACATATAACTAAGATTAAAAATACTGTTTTATACTTAGTTTTTCATGCTGATTAAGAAAATAATATTTTTGGAATCATCAAAAAAAGAAAAAACAAATTTTTATATATTTTCTCAAAAATAAGTATTCTATACATAGGCAATGGGAATAAAAGTTTTTCGAATTTTTTTTGTAAAAAAGTAAGACAAAATTTTTTAAAAAATATTTTCTTGGAAAGTTTAATGAGTCCTATCGAACCATATATAAATTATTGAAAAAAAAATTTTTGCTCAAGTTTTGAATTACGCGTGCGTTACAATACCTTAGTGATTTGCGAAGATGGCAATAGGGTTGCAGTACGAAGAAAGAATATTCCCGAATCCTTTTAGAGCATCGAGTTTATTATTCTAAAAAACTCATTGATTTCCTAACGTTTGGAAACCTAAAGAGTATTTTCAAGAACCTATAAAAAAATTGGAAACCTTTTCCAAAACCTTTATGGGTTTTCAAAAAGGTTTTCGAGCTCGTTTGGATTTTCTTGGGAACGGATTTTTTTTAGAGTGTACAACCATGTCATTTCTCACTGTCGTAGTGCAATGTTTAGGAAAATACTGGGAAAGAATAGAAAAAGAACCAGAATTATTTCTTCATATATATGTAAAAAAGTGTTTTTTTTATTCTTTTCTCCAAGATCATCGTAAATGTTGCTTTACGATCACGACATTTCTCCCCGTCGCAGTGC